TTCATTGCTATTTAATGTAACTTTGCTGCTTGTATATCAATGTTAGTATATATTGCTGAAAGCAGTTAATTTGCTCTTGTTGTTTGTTAGTGATCCATGTTTGCAGTTTATATTGTAGTATGAAGAAGCATATTGGGCGGGGACCTGTACTGTTTTTCAGTAGATTCTTATGATTTGATACCAATGTAACAATTTCTTTCTATTACTATAAGAAGTTGTTCTGTAAAGAAGACATTATGTTTTTTTAGATTGAAGTAGATCCTTCTGTAGAATTTTAGATCAATTACTTCTTCAATAGTAGTGTTTATTGTTTTTATGGTCTGAAAGCTATTTTCTTGAACTTTATAAAATGTGAAGCCATGTGTTCTGAGCATTCAAATTATATCATGTGTAAGGTTTCTCCCTAGTTCTAAAAGAGAAGCTTGTATATAGTCATATATTTCTTTGATTGACCAGAACATGTTTTGTATTGTCTATAGTCAATGGTATACTATGTCTTCTGTAATATTGTTTTGGTTCACTCTGGTGCACTAGTTATTAGCATGTAACTGTACTTGTCTATTCCATATGTGCATTATATTATATTCATATTTATTGTATAATATGCTATTAAGTATTGTGTTTGCAAGTCCTATCTTATGTTTAAATATTGTTGCCAGTTTACTTATTAGGTAGTTATAGGTTTGTTTGGATAGAACTATATCATTGCATAAATATTCTATACTGGGCATTAGAACATGGTTGATTATGTATTGTGCTTGTTTATCTATAACCTTTTTTTATTTTAATTAATATATATGTACTGGCTTTATTAAGAATTTTTAATAGTCTTTGTATCCTGAGTTGTATTATCAGATTCCTAAAATTCTAACTAGTGTGTTGGGAGGATATCCTTATATTTTCTGATTGATCATTAGTATTCCTTGTTCCAAGTTTTCCTTTGCACCATTGATGATAATCAATAGTGACTTGTTTGAATTGATTTTAAAATTATTGATATGATAAAATTCTCCTGCTATATAGATAATTCTTTGTAGATCTGTTACATTATTTGTTGTTCATATTGTGTCATTTATGTACATATTGATTGCTAAATAATAGTCCTCCTTTCCCATTCCTTTTTAAGATCTGTACATGTTTTCGAGCTGATTATATATCCTTTGTGTTGTTAACTGAGCATAGATAGTAGTGGATCATAGAAAATGTGTTATAGCAAAGATGATATTGTGTCTCTTTGATCTATTCCATTTCTTACCTAATACTCATCTATTAAGCCATAGCATGTTATAACTGCATTGTAATGATTTTGGAATATGCTGAGTAGAATAGTTATTGTTGTGTCTGATACCTTGATCATTTGAAGAATTAACTGTAACATCTCTAAATTAACAGAGTCAAATGCTTTTGACATATCTTTGCTCAGAATCTAGGCTTGTTGTTTAGTTTCTTTTGAATATTTAATGATACTGTTGATTATATGGATTGGGTCTTGAGTACTGCTACCTGAAATTGCAGCCCATTTTAGTTTCGATAGTATATCTTTGTGAGTCAGACACTTGGCTAGTCTATCTGTAATGATTTTAATAAATATTTTTCTTCCTGCATCCAGTAACATGATTGGTCTGATTATATCTAGATTGTGTGCCCAGTTCTTAGACTTAGGTATTGAATATATGTGTCCTCTACTTCATTCCCTGGGTATAATATCTTGTCAAATAATCATATTGAAAATCATTCTTAGTTCTTCTCTTGCTTTATTTTTCAAATATTTGTATGCTAATTATGGTATCTGGTTGAAATCTGGAGCTGACTTCAAGCTGCTTTATTTAATTGCTTATATAAGTTCTATTGTAATCTCTTATAGCATACATTTGTAGTAATATTACTTGATATGTGATTTGGATCTATATTTGAATTGCCACGTAAGATGTTGTTTTAGATTTTAAATGTTTTTGTATAGTGTCCAATTATAAAAGTGTTCCTTTATTTTGGTTTTGATTTCTGCAAGTTCCGTGACTATCTCTACTTTCACTCCTTGTTGAAAAATAAGTCAGTTTAATTGTATCTATTTTCTAGGTCTTTCCAGAATGTTATTGATCATAGCATACTTGTCATTATCATACTGCTCTTGTCTTATTAAGATTCTTCTTCTTATTGTATTGTTTTGTCTTCTATGCAAAATAGCCTTGGCAACTGTTTTGTGTGCCTTTATATTGCCTTGGATTACCTTGAGCCATTCTTTAAGATATGTATCAGGGTATTCTACTTCTAGTTTAGTAAGTATAGTTACCAAGCTAAAACAGATTTATGTATGTTTAATGGGATCTAGAGTGGCTGATGTGCTTTTCTTTTTTTTTTTATCTGTTAGGTATTGTCTGACTTGTATGAGAAATTTCTGTAACTGTATTATGAGTGGTATCTCTTCTATATCTTTAACTTGATATATTTTTCTCTAGTGAGGTTTTTTTTTTGGAATGAATTTTTTGGCTGTCTTCTGAATGATATTGCTAAACTGATTCCATCTATAGTCTAAAAACTGATAGCTTGAGCATTTTGTTTGTATGTTACACTTGATATGATCACTAAACTTTTTCCATTGCTGTACTGTGATGAGTTGCCAGTTGTATCTGTGATTGTGTTTATGATATGTTACCTGTTTAGGTGTATTAGGGCTTTATATTCTATTTCTGCTATTATTGTAATATAGTTGCTTAAGATTAATAATGTGATGAGATCTTGGATAGTAGCTATCCTTGATTGCCATGTTTCCTGTGGTCTCATTTATATTTGATCAATTCTACTGCTACTTCCTCCTCTGTTTCATATATATTCTCTCTTTATAGAATTATGCATTTTATATATGTTTTCTAAATTGTTATTCAAAAGAATTTGTATTTGTTTTCCTGAGGGGTGATGTTTTTTAATTGTTGTTGTGTTACTGTGCTTGTCAATTGCTGGATTGGAAACACCATTTATGTCTCCTATTACCATTAGATACTATCCCTTTTTTGTCACTTCTTTGATCCACTTACTAAGAGTATTGAGTATGATTTGTTTTTCTTTTTCATGTCTTATGTCATGAAGTATACTCCAATTATACTCATTTTCTCTTTGTGTGTAAAAGCCAGGTCAGCTACTATAAGTCTACCTGTAAGCGTTTTATAATTGTAAATTCTATATACAATGTCTTTGTTAATCATTATATTTAGACCTTATTCATTAGTTTGTGATTCTTTGTAGGTCCATATAGTTTGAAATTTTTTGTGTTGTCAGTATTTTTATTGTTAATGTGAACCATTTGTCTCTGTAGTGACTATAATATCCCAGTCCACTGCATTGCAAATGTTGAATAATGTTTCACATTTATGTGTTTCTACCAAGCCTTGAATGTTGAATATTATAACTTTTCATATTGGGTTGTATTCTCTATATATTATTATGGATACTATTGTATTGGATATTGTGTTATTTGTATCTAAATTATGATCTGATTTTGTTACTTGGTTGTCTGTTCTTTCCATTTGTTGTTCTGATGTATCATAAGAGTTTATTAATTGATTGTTTCTAAAATTGTCGATTCTTTTGTTGATATGGTGCTTTGATTGCTATCTATTATTGTCTATATGAGGGGGAGGATGTGCTATCAGAGATGAAGTTGATTATGATGTTGTACATTTGGTCTATGTGTTTGTCTAGCTTCTGCATAGATGACTGAATGCATTGTTGTTGGGTACAAATATCTTGAGTACTGTTTTGGAGTGTTGTGTCTATTGCTGGATTTTTTTTTGTGTCAATGAGAGAGGTGTCTTCATCCATTTGCTTTTTTTAGTCTTTATTATATGTTTCCAAGTTGATTATACATTCCTCTAAATCAGCTATATCTTTTTTGATCTCTTGGATCTCTTGCCTTATTGTTTTAAGAATGTGAAGTACTTCTGTTATGGCTGTTTAAGAGGATTTAGACTGTGTTTCATCTTCTTTTAGTAGTCTTGCTGTTGCTATATAGGAGCCTGGCCAAACCTTCCTTTAATAATTATGTGTGGTTGCCCTTCACCTTATAGTTTCAGTATATACTAATCTGAACCTATTATATAGTTTATCAAATCTGTTAGCTTATTATATATTGTACTGATTTCAATGTATTCTTCTTTTTTTTATTGAACACTGAATGACAAAGTGTGTTACACTTTCATTGATAGTACATAATTTTGTATCAATTGGTTCCCATTCTGCTTGGATTTTTCCTAAGAGAACATTCTATGTTGTTACTACTTCTAGGTCTTCTTGGCTCATAAAGCCAATAATTGCAAACTGCTTGTGTCTGTATGACATATGCCTAAGAATGTAAAATATCTTAGCTTCAGTTTGTTCACAAGTGAGTTTGAGGTCAAATGTCGTAGTATTGGGTGGAAGGTTTGTTAAATTAACTGCAATGCTTTCATGTGTCTTTATTTAGTCCATATCCTATTGTACATCAAAAATTCTAACTAAGTCTGATTGTAAGAGAATGCTTCATTTGACAATTAGATTCTCTTTTACTTGCTTGTTTGCATAGGTAATGATTGCTGATTGCCACATTTGCTGTAGACATGTCTATATTTGTGATTTCTTCAAATTTGGAAAAAGATTTGTTATACCTCTATAAATTTTGTATCAAGAGGAATGTCCCATACTCTGATATTATTTTCTTTATTTGATCTAGGGGATATGAAAGCCATGTGTTCAAGATAAGCCCTATCCATTTCAAGTAAGATAGTGTTGCAAGCTTCTTCTGTAATGTAGTGATTACTGAAAATAACAATAATGTGTTCCTCTTCTCCTTTTCCTTTACTGCGGGTAGAAAAAAGGCCAATAAGCATATTCAAGCTCTTTGTGATATATGCAATCTTCTGGTTGGTTGTTCTTCCTAGGACTTCTGATACTTTGATACCTGTTTTGACTCTTTTTCTTTCAAACTTTGTTGTTGAGTCAATCAATAATCTTGGTTTAGATTTACCTACCCTATTGACTAGTATGTTTTTATATAAGACTTCATTCCATTGTCCACTGGATTTGGGTTTTGTTTGGTTGCTTTTGCTTGATTTTTTCATTTTTATGTTTGATTTATCTATTCTTGCTACTGTGAATAAGGCAAAAGAGTTCTTGCTTTGTTCAGTTTCTTGAATATTTTTACTTTTATCACTATTCTCAGTTTGAATGTCTTGTGTGATCATTTCTTCTATTTTATCACTCCAAGTTGATTGTTTTAGATTGGTTTTCTTTTCTTTGATGGTTTCTATTTCTGTAATTATAGTCTGACTAATATTCTGGTTGCTTGTTTGTTCATTCCTAGTATTTGTTGAAAAGTTTCTTTCTCTTTTTCTTTGTTTTTTGGAAGCAATCTTATGTTATCTCTTATCAAGGTGTTCTCATTGTAGTTGGACCTGTCCTGGGTATATGGGCTTCTTTAGTCTCTAGGAGAACTCATCTTTTGTTCACTTTTTTTCTTATTTCCCAAAATTGCCTAAAAAAGAAATTTTTAAAAAAAATAATCTGTGGGAAAGAGTTTTTTTAATTATAATAGTTAATTAAAATATTGTATATTTAATTTTTAATAAGATCCTATAAGAAATTTTCTTTTTTGTTTCTTGATTTTTATTATAATGTAAAAATATTTGATTTTTGTTATATAAGTCATTAAAGATATTAAACTCTATTTTGTATAACTAGACTAGCTATATTTTTACTTATATATAGATTCTAAAAGTTATTTGCATATTTTTGCATTTTTCTAGTTTCAAGTTATATAATGTTATATTAAATGATTAGATAGCTATACTTTTAAGTATAAATCTTAATAATTTAATCCTGTATTTAAAATGTTTCTTATTTTCTATCTATTTTGTCTATTTCATTTTTTGTCAAACTAAGATTTTGAAATAAATATTCAATTATTAAAAACAATACTTTATTAATTATATATTTATATATTTTATCAATCATATATTTTCAAAACAAGATTCTACAAATAATATTGATCTTATCTTTGATAGATTTTATTCAATATATCTTTGCACTAAATCTCAGGAACTTAGATAGCTTGTTTTTTTGACTGAATATAGTGTCAACCTATTCAATTTATCTCTTAGGAATCAAATAGAAACAGAAAACTAGTGCAAGGAAACAACAAGTTAGACTTCTAATGTAATATGCAAAAGAACTTAATTTGAACAATAATAAATAAAAAGATTTATTACTAATGATTTAAGCAGAAGAGGTAGAACAATAATTTAAGATTAAAGGTAATTTTATTGTTGGATAAATCCTGTTATTGTCTCAAACTTACATCGCTAAATGCCTGAAGAGTCTTCAAAGGGTGAATTTCCTCCTTTAAATATATAATTAAATTATATGATATTTGAGAATATAAACTAAAATAAATAATAGTAATAATTATACTATTAGTTTCATTAGACTATTAAGCTATATTATTTGGAACAAAACTCAAGTATTCTTTGAAAATAATAGTTACGTGTAATCAATTAGACTATGGAATATTCTAGAGTACTTTATGTTAAGTTTGCTAATAGCAAAATCAACTATCAATATTCTAGAAGTATTCTGGAAGATCTTTACTTTCAGGTGACCAAAAGGATCGTGATATGTCGATCTAAGATACTGGAATTATTCTGGGTACTATAGAGATCATATCACAAAATTTTATAGTTCAACAATTCCCCAACTAATCTGTAAGTTCCATGAGTTAAGAATTAATTAGAGATTGGAATTCAGTAGCTGTTATCTTGTGGATATTTTTAAGGGCCATTTTTCTTGTTCTCATGATTTGTTCTATTCCTGTCTTTTCAAAAAGGTAATAGGTCCTGATACAAGCTCATTTGTAATATGTAGATACTTGATTATACAAAAAATTATATTGATGCTGATTTATCACTTGATTCAATAATTTTCCTAAGAGATAAGCATGCACCAAGGTTATTTGCTGATTTTTGGTTCTGGCTACCGTTTGTATATATCCGTACTTGATTAAAACCTGTACTTCCAAAGATTGCGTGATATCTGCATATGGTAGGATTATATTTACATTTTCAGGAGTTGTTTCAAGAAGATCATTTATAATTGATCAACAATGGTACTCATTTTGAGATTGTTGCATATTTTTGAGATCTTGAAATAGTTTGCTGGAAAATGGGGAAAACTTTGTCAATTTATATTTATTAAAACTTGTTTTTTGTTTCTGATCTTTGCATGTTTGTATAATGTATTTAAGTATCATATCTTTTGCATTTTTGGAATAATATATTTCATCTATCATAAGCCAATTCATCATGCCAAGAGTCCATAAACAAAAACATATCACTGCCACTTCCTCTTTCTCCAAGAGAACCAGAAGCTCCCAACCCATTGATAATTGTAACTTGTTTTGTGAAAACTTTTCTCTCAAAGAGGAAATAGAAAACTTGATCACCAGTTTGGTAGGTTCCAAGAAACCAATTCTGTTTTTTATGACAAGTATGAGAGCCTTTCAGCAGACCTTCAAGATATGACTGGTTGCCACTATTACCTCACACATATGGAATCAGAGAGGGAGAACAATAATCTTTACCAATGGGTTCATTCACTAGAGCAACTTCTCCAGTTGCAGGACATGGAAGCTCCTTCTCTGTTGGATAGGTCTTTCTCTCATATGCTCTATAAAGTTTGTTTCTTTATATGTGTTTGATTACTAAGACCATGTAGTAACAACTGTGATGCTCCCTAGGCTGGCTGAAATAGTGGTGTAGTTGCTCTTTAGGTCACAACTATTTAACTACATCTTTTCTTTATTCTTTTCTTAAATACTTTCAATTCTTTTAGGTTTTCTGTTCATGTGGCTCAAATAGTTTTCATTGACTAGATAATAACTCTGGTGATTAATAGTCTTGTAAAATTATTTGTGGTTCTCATTCTTCTCGGTCATAATACTTCTCAAAAAATATGTATTGATAAGAGCAGTCAATACTTTTCCATCCAAAGTTCTTAGCTAATAGGCACTATTTGAAAGAATATTGTTGGTTATAATAAGGTTCTTTCCATTTTGGTTTCAATTTCTCTATAAAATTTTTGTCTTGTGCAGTACTATATATTAATATTTTGTCACTTAGTTTGAATGTTGAAGCTAAGTTTTTCCTTTAGTCATGATACTTTTTCTGTTTTCACTGGCTTCTTTGGATATTATGCCTAGCAGTTTCTCTTTCTTGTAGTAGTTCTTTTATCAGAGTAAACAGTTATGATAGGATGTCTTCTTTGATTACTTAATTCATTTTTATAGAAGGGATTTGAGTTTTTATCCATATAGCAAGTAAAAGGAAAATATTTTCATGGAGGATAGTTTGGCTATTCTGTATGCAAATAATACTGGTACAATGTAGTTATTTCAATTTTCTTGTCCTTCTATTAGTTTAACCAATATTTCACATAAAGTTCTATTGAATCGTTCTACTAGTCCATTAGTTTGAGGATAGTATGGATAGGGATCTCAATTTTTATCGGAATCTGAATGATCTGCAGATTTGATCTGAACGAATCAGATTAGATTTTAAATTTTTTGATCTGTTTGTATACAAATCGGATACGGATTTCAAATTTTGTATCTGATCCGATTTCAAGTTTTAAAACCTAGCCAGGTTAAATAAAAATCAGAAGTTTAAATGTAGCTATTTAAGGTAATTAAAAAAAACTCCCTGGTTTTTTTTTTATATCCTTTAACATCTTTGCATGTTTCTTTAAAATTTTGTGTTATTTTTTATGATATTTTTCTTCTTGCAA